CTGGTTCATATGCCCCAGTCTGCTCTAGCATAGTACATCGATCTGACAGCAATAAAGCTGAGAGGAGCAGGACTGCGGCCAGGAGATCCAGTAGGGCAGGCTAACTTAGACGGGGGTGAGGGGGGGTACATCCTTCCACAAGGAAGTAATCAATGCCGCCCACTCGGGCCTCCCAGCCATAATGGGGAGGAGAGTGTGTGAGTTTCCAATGTATTTCATATTGTGGAGTTGACTGTGGGGTGAAATCTAGTTGTGCCCTCGATGTGCTTGGCCGGTAATGCCTTGCCTGCTGAGGGCCCCACCTAATTTTGTAAGGGACGCTGGGCTCAGTTCCCGGTACTTAAAAAAAAAANGGCCGGTAATGCCTTGCCTGCTGAGGGCCCCACCTAATTTTGTAAGGGACGCTGGGCTCAGTTCCCGGTACTTAAAAAAAAAAAAAAAAAAAAAAGAAAAAAAAAAAAAGATTTTTTTTGTTTTGGTTTCACAGAGATTTTTTTAGGGCTAAAAAAAAAAAAGTAAGAAAACAAATAAAAAATATAGGGTTGTAGATCTTTAAAAGATGTACAACAACATGATTTTTTGTCGTTTTTTTGACTTTCATGTATAAAAAAAAAAAACATAAAAACAATTTTAAAAAAGGAAAAAAAGACACACACACACACATGCATGCACATACAAGCAGCTAATCAAAAGTACGTGTAGAAATATATCTGTAAAAATATGTATATGTTTTGGAAAGAGGCGGAAGTAGAGGATGGTTACCCATGGCAGAGGGTATGTCGGTGCATGGGTATAAAATAGTCAAGAAAGGAAAGGGGATTTTTTAAGAAAATGGAAAATGAAAAATAAAAAATAAAGAAAAGTGGTAGAGGGAGTAAGCGCAGAAACGACTTCAGGGCCCCTAACGGAACTGGCACTAAGCAGACGGCCGAAAGAGTAAGGGACAAGGGCAACGTGTGAGAAAAGCTATTGTTGGACGCTGCAAGAAACCGGCTATAATACTGGGGTAAAGCTCAGTCCTAAGGCCTTGGTGAACAAGGCACGGTGGATCACTGTGGTAGGTTAACGCTTCAAGCGCCAACGTACAACGGGGACCTACCGTGGTTACAGCGCGATGTCCGATCTATCGTCGTCTTTGCCGTCTTCGTCGGCCTTGTTCCTCAAGCACCGCGTTCGCGTTCCGATTCTACCGGGAGAGGAGAGGACTGTAACTTTTTTGAGGAGTCGCAAGGAGAAGCTCCCCCGGAGGTGATGGTTAATTTTCGAGACATCAAATCTCGTTTACCCCACGTATGATGAATGTCGGTATTGTGTTTTTTTCCATAAATTATGAGTATCGATCTCTTTTGTTATTCACAAATCATATGTAGCTTTTATCTGTTTACGAATGTCTAATCTGTATGCATGTGGTATATGTATCCTGGTTCGGGAGGCAAAGCAGTGCGGTGAATGTGGTTTAATCGTTCTCCTCTGATGATCTGGCGAGTGTGGCGGGCCGGTGAAAAACTAGTTTAAGGGAATTGCCACTACCCCTAGCTTTTCTATCCACTGCTAAGGTGTCGCCGGCTCTCAATGTGGCCTTATGGCAATCCATTAGAACGAGGGAGTGTGGGTGTGATCATGTGCACAGTACTTATTGATGGACGTCCACCATACACTATGCTTACCACTTGTTTGACGCTCTTCGTACTTTGTTGGGAAATCAGTGTTGTATCTTTGGATGGGTGGTAATTGGCTAGGCTTTGTTTGCAGAAAAAGACGTCTGATCAACTTTCTACTCACCCAAGTGGAATTCAGTCGGGACCAATGAGCGAATTGGTTACAAGAAGTGCGTCGGCAATTTCGAAGATTCTATGTATAGGGGTCATCGGATGTGTGCTATGTCCTACTGAGAGGGGTGTGTGTTCGCCATGAATAAATGACGGGGGGGGGAAGGGGAGAACTCTCGGGTGTGTTATGGAGAAAGAAAGGAAAAATGGTGGTAAGGGACACAGGGTTCTGACGAGCAAGGAGCAAGGGGATTCGGAATGCGAATGTGTAGTAGAGTAGATTGGGGATGAGTTGGAGGAGTAGGCTGGGATGTGTGATGGGATGATCGAACGCACAACGAGGGTGAAAATTCTTTAAGCAGGGCAAGGTGCGATGCTAATGTATGGCCAGGGAGAGCACGGATACATAGGCTGAATCGTGTGTTAATGAGGGAGGTGTGGTGCACACATACTTGGGTATAAACGACATTAGATATCAACAGGGTGAGAGCAGTAGGAGTGGTCTGACAATAACGAATGTGCAAGGGTAATAAGCCGGTGGGGGTGTTAGGTTATGTCGTTACTTTTTGTTTTTGTAAAAAAAGGGGGGAAGTGATAAGATACGGTCATCTGGATAATGACGGTTGAGCAAAAAAAGTGGTCGTTGGGATTTGGTATTTGCTTGCACCAAGAAGTTCGCCTTACGGAAGACCAAGGTCATGTCATGATTTACGTAGAAGTTTCACGAGTCCCTTCATGTTCAGTACTGGGATAGAGTGTGGGTTCTGCAGAGGGGTAGGATAGTGAGCGAGCATTGGGTTCTTTCAGTGATTTCGCGTTTGTCGTCACGATGATGCTGACTGTGCTCACCAGTGCGGTTAATAAACTCATCCGGGTTCGTGTGACATGTATTCGTGTGTGCTATTTTTGTGTTTCTCGACTTGGTGTGTGTGTGATTTCACGTCAGCCGTGCTATTGTCATTCATCATCTCGTTGGAAAAAGGGGAACAATGTGGTGGTGAACCGTGGGTGTCCTGGGAATAAAATGCAAATCATCATTGTCTAGGTGCTGGGTTTCGATACTGTCATTGGTTGCAATTCCTATAGGTCAAGCGACGGTGTGGAGTGCACTCATAGTGTACTGGAGCTATCTCGAAGTGTGTTTACACACACAGCATCACACACACACACACACACACACACACACACACACACACACACACACAC